TTCGTTTCCGTGAATATCCGTGAACGTCCGCGAATCCCGGTGAAATTTCGAGGGAAGAAAATCCCGAAGCGAAATACGCGAAGGTAGCAGAGTTTTGTTCAGGTAGGAAACAACTTTTAATTTCGCCCGACGTTCCCGATTTTCCACTCGATTTCGGCTTCATTTTTCTCGAATCGCGCGATAAAGGGAAAATTCCTAGCGACTCGCTCGATATAAATGTGACCGGTTAGAGCGAGAGACTCGGCTGCATTTTAACGAACGGTCCACAGCGAACAATTACGCGGAAGTAATTTCTTAAGCTCCGAGGAAAATTCCAATTAAGCAGAAACTCGACTAGTAGCCCAATAACGATATTACGTTAAATGCCGTCGACGACTCCTCAAAGTTTCTATTCATCGAACTCGAGATCCATCCCCGCGCTATCGACTGAAACGCGAACGAATTCATTTGTAAACCTGCACACTCGTGCAAACTTTCGCCGGAGTAGGAACACGGTTCGACGATAATGCTCTATCACCGACTCGCTTTTCCGAGACACTGACCAACCGGAAATTAAAATAACCGTGCACGGCTCGTGCCGTCTATCGCAAATGTACAGGATGCACCGTTTTATCTCGCCACCCGATATCTCGTTTCTAATTTACATCGCGCAGAAAGCTATTCCACGCCCTGCTGTCCGAGAGCTCGCGCCACGCATCGTCGGATGGAGGGTGCGCGCCGATTCGCGTGGAACAAATTTTTCTCGTCCTGTCGCGGAGAAAAAATAGGAAAAATAAAGAGAAAAAAAGGAAGAAAGGCCGCGTATCTGGAAAAGGTGCAGGAAAGAGACAAAAGTGGAAGATTTCCGTGCAAACTCGACGCGATCCAGAGCCGGTAATCCGAGTGGATGGAAGACGCCGAGATCCTTACGTTACCACGAAGCGCCATTGCGGGGAGCGTTTGGATCTATCGAAAGTAAGTACAGCTTTGGAAATCAAACGCTGCTCCTGGGAAGGTAACGCGGTTCGAGCGTGCTCGACTGATTGATTTCCTGAAATTTCTGTAAACGATGCTGCGCTACGGGATCGACGATGGTCGGCGGCGATAATGTATTAGGTTCTTAATTAAATTGATTCGATTGATCGGCAAACATATTTCAACGGGGCGCTGTTCGCGGTAAGCCAGCCACGATAGTTTCGATCCATAAATGAACGACGGGGATGACAAACGTCGGTAATAATACCGGGACAAGTGTATTTTTCAGACGCGCAACGTATGTCGAAACGTTCCGTACCCGACGAATCGGGCCATCGTTATCCATCGGCGGATAAATCGTGACTAACCCATTATTATTCGCCGATTCGATGGATATTTCATCGGGGAGAAAAGCGAAACCGGTGGAACTTGGATTTCACGGATAATCAGAGACGCAAAGATCGGCGCAAATTAAAGCGACGGAACCGGTAACGCTCGCAGCGAGAGTCGCGTTTACAGCCCGATTATACGCCAGTGTATCGACGATTGTAAACAATCCTTGATATTAAACTATATCGAGATTTACAATCGGCTGCCGAATCAGTTCCTCGGTCGTACCTGTATATCGCATTTCCTCGTTATTATTTGTTCCCTGTTAATTTATTTATCTCGGCTATTACGGTCGAATGGAATCGAAGTTTGGCAAGGGCAAATTGCCCAAATACCAACTGAGCGCACGTTCGCGTAACGACAGCCGAAATTGAGATTTTATTGACGGCGGCTGGTGCGATAATCTGGATTGCATTTACGTTAATCTATGCGAGCGACGACGTAACAATCCTCGATGGTCTATCCTTCCTCCATTTTCCCGGCCAATGCCGGCGACGTGTAAGTACTTTACCGAGCCTCGATTACACGCACCGCGAAATCGCGAGATTAATTAATTCACGGTAAAAGCGCATTCGCGGAATCGCTGGAAAATAATTTCGATTCGACAACGCGACGTTTCGTTTCGTTTCGTTTCGGTAAGAGTAATTTCGCGAATACTTTGAACGCTGGCAGAAACGATGTTTTAAGCAGAACGATTTACGCACTTGAAGGGTAGATCCATACGCGATGCATCGGTGCCCGATACGTTGCTCGACGTTATGCAACATCGATATTCCGATTACCAATTAATCCCATGATACATCATTCGATGATTTCAGGGCGCGAACACCATTCCGCGTGTATACGTAAGCCATCGAACGGTTACGCGTTCAAGTTGAACATTAGCCTTGGAGTTAGTGGCCAAACGGAATAACCAGCACCCAGGGGGTGGTTATTAGCGCGGTGTAACAACGTTACGGCCGATTCTAAACGAACCTGATATTTTTCTCCGTGTCCCCGAGGCACGCGTGTCTCGCCGACCACGTCGCTGAATTTCCCGATTCTAATTTACAACGACGAAACGAATTATTTTCACACGGATGAAATAACGTTAATTGGGCGACTCGTGAAAAAGTTGACGCGAAATTAGCAAGGGTCGAGGAAATTAGAGTGGCAACTTTGTTCTCTTTCGGATATCTCGTTAAAAATGTTTTGTGCTTGCCAACTCGCGCAACGATATTACGACCACCTCGTTAGCCGTTAGAATGGATAGCTACGTCGATGTACAATGACATTATACCGGGAGAACCGCAACCCTGTTAAATAAAGCTCGCTTATGTTTTGACAAACTCAAGTGCTCGAAATGAATAAGCCGCGAGAAATTGAAACGAACAAAGTTCCGAGCTGGCGCAAAATCTCGTCCTGCCTAAAAAAGGCGAGAAAGAAGAAGAAGAGGAAAATACCGTCGACCGGAAAGCTGAAATTAATTTTGATCCGCGCGCTTTTAATTAAAACCATCTTTTTCTTTTTCCGCGAAAATTCGCGAAACCTTGTAACCCTGTCAAACAAGCGAGAAATCAATTTCCCTCGGCCACCCTCTATTCCGACGTTTCCAGGCGTGACTTTGACTCGCTGCGCTGAACGGACACGCGCGAGAGAACGAAAAATCCTCGCCCGTTCTGTTTTGCCAAAATTATTGCCGGATCGCCGAAAGCTATTATTGCCAAAGAAGCTGGCGAAATCGATGGAAACGAAGCGCGTGTACGCATCGGCGTACCGTCTGGTCGATCTAGTCGCGAGATCCACGCAATTTTCCAGTCTCTCCTGCTTCGGCTCTCGTTTCCGCGAAACCGCTTTAAGCTCGAGATTAAAACGGGGGAGTGCGATAGAAGTGGCGCGATAACTCTGCTTTTCGAAGGATCGTTTGGCGCGTTTAACCCGGTTAGGGTGGAGAAACGTCGGAAACGAAGAGGAATCGAGGAGGAATCGAGGAGGAATGAAGGAGGAATGGAGGAGAAACTGGAATGGAGAAGTCAAGCCTGTTCATCGAGGGCTAATAAAAGAGGTGGAAACGTTCTATTCTTGGGCGCTGGTGGGGTCCAGAAAGGGGAAACGAAATAAAAGTCGTTGGGGTGAAAAATCGGCGAAAGAAGGAAAGGTAGACAGATAAGTGGGAAGGGAGAGAAGAAGAAAAGGTTGGCCGGTATCGCGGAAAAAGCGAAACGCGTTAGGTCGTCGAACGAAAGCAATCCTTGTATATTTGCCCGTAAAATATGAATCCGTGCACTCAACAGGATGACGCGAGGTTTCCGTGACGGATCGGGAAAGAAAAAAGCCACGAATACGAAACAATGAAACCGCCACCACTGTCCGAAGAGCTTTCCCCGACATTGCAGTCTCGTGTCCAGAAGAAATTTTCCAGAGAAAAGCAACGATCCTGTCCCGTCGACCCTTGTCTCGTTTAGACTTGCCAGCCCGCAACCCGCGTCCCTCCCTTCAACAGAAACGGTAACAGTCCTTTCTCATCTACATCCTGCTTTTCCTGCTTTCTTCGCCCTTATCTTCGAGCCTCGTCTTTTATTTTCCACGGGGTAGGGAATGAAAAATATTAAACGGACCGTGTTGTTTGCTTGTCTCCGGGTTCGCGTGCCAGCTAAATTTCTCCTCGTACGTTACGTACTATGGCAGAACGTAGTTTAAAGGACAAAGTGAAAACCGGGCGTTACTAGAATCGCGAGGCGTGTTTCTAAAGAAAATTGCACGCAATTTTCCCGAGTAGACGTTCTTATGTTAATGAGTTGAAAGGAAAGACGCGCAAACTGGCAGTCGCGATACTTTGGAGCGCCGCGACGCGACGCTAGAATAAGCGCGTCGCTCGAGATAAGGAAAAAAAGGGGAGACAAAATGAAAAGGAAAAATAGAAAGAAGGTAATCGAGCTGAAGCGATTATACGCGCACTCGGTGTAACGACTTAAACGAACTCCAAGCAGACCGTTTAATTCATCAAATTAATCCCCCAATTACACGAGAAATTGCGTTAGCTTGAAAAGTTTCCGAGAAAAGGGGCGAGACCTTCGCGAAGAATTTCATTTAAAAACCGATAATTCGATTGTAGTCGGTACCCCGAACTTTGATCGCACGGTAAAAAGTGTAACAAAGTGGATTTTCCTAACGGATATCGTTCTCTTTAAGTCCGTGGAAAGGTAGCGCGCCATTAAAAATTAGTTACGTCGCGACGCGGACGTTAGCGGGCGTTCGCGTGCAAACCAACTATAGTCTAGGGTGTAAATTTTAATTAAACACGCCTTTTAATATAGAGAAGCTTCAGAGATATTCCGGTAAAGCTAATTTAATTAATACTTTATACGCGTTGCGAGTTAACCGCAAAAGCTGAGCACGGGAAATTACCAGGAAAAGGACGACGGTTGCTTCGAAACGAATATTATTAAGTAATATATTCGTCGGGGTTACACTACCTTTCTCTCTCTCCCCTCTCTCTCTCTCTATATATATATATATATATATCGAAAACTGGCGTGCCGCGTAATTTGGCTACACGCCGGACTGATTCTCTACGTTCGAGATCGATCGATACAGCCTCCTATCTCGATTAGCCTGCACGCAACGTTTTCGCTCCGGTCGATCCTGTTCCCAGTCTCTCCGGAAATATTATTCGAGTTGGTAATTCGCGGCGAAAGACAGGAAGTCATTCGCAGCTACCCGCAAATTCGCCTATGTTCAGCGATTAATTTCCAATTAGAGAACTCGAGACTCGGAAAGGCGAGGTGTGGTCTCTCGCGTCCACCTCTCCACGGTTGCCCGCGATATCGTCTGTCCGTGTTTCCATTCCGAGCGGAAAATTTCCTACCTCTTCTCCGCCGTGACACTCGACCCGCTCGAAACCGAACCCGTTGCTCCCTTCGGTTGTTTCGCCGCTTCAAAATGGCCACCGATCAACCAGCACGATCAACGTAAACCCAAGAAATCTCGACGCGTTCGAGCACCGCGCGTAACCATCCGCGATCACGCAAATACGAAAATAACATGACGGATAACCGATGCCGCTGTCCACGATGCCTCCATTCCTCGTGCCCTCTTCCATACGCTCGGCCACCGTACGACGAGGTGGTGCACGAGATCGACGACAACTTTGTGTCAGTGAGAATACCGAAACGCAGAAAGAAGTTCGAACACGAGGACGCGCGGGAACAACGGGAGAATCTCAGCTTCGACTTTAATTGCGCGGATGCCGAAGGTACCGTACGTCTCCTCTTTTCCGCGTTCTTCTCGCGTTGGAAAACCGCGAGATCTCCGTAGGAAATTCCGCGGAGGGAGAAGGAGAATAACGCGTGTATCGCGCACAGGTGAGAAATGCAGGTCCGGCTGCAGCAAGGTCCACGTGATACCGAACCAGTATCCTCCGACGAAGAAGCCCGAGGAGGAGATACTTTCGTTGAAGGCTATAAGGCACATTATGGCCAACGACGACCTAAGGAACACGCTCGAAATTGAATTTAAGGCGCCACGGAATTACATTCCTCTACCCGAGCCAGGGCCACCTCCGCCCATAATTGTACCGAAGCAACGTGCCAGAAAGAAGGGCAAGGGCAAGGGCAAGCGTAAGAGGAAGCGGTAAAATTGGTCGCGGGAGAAGGAATAATTAGCCGAGAGTATCTGCAGGTTCGCGAAAGGGGAGAGAAAGGGGAGAGAAAGGGGAAAGAAAGCTCGACGCGTGCATCGATAACGCAAGGGACGAGACATCGGCGATTGCCTCTGGTTTTTAGAGAAACAAGGGGTTTATCTCGACCAAGCCGGAATACGTTTGGCACAAAATCGGCCCTCTTTAGGGATTTACGAGTGACGCGAAACTAGAGCGTTCGCCACTTTGTCGTAAACGCAAGGCCAGAACCGGGAGAGCGAATAATGGAACGATAAATCACTAGCGTTATATTCTTGCGCATCTTGGGCGACGATAAATCATATCGCGCACCGAAGGCATACGGACGCGCCGGTATTAAACGTTTTCGCAGCCATTGTCTTTCACGCTGGCAACCGGGATCTTTTTAAGTCCTGCCTTGCGTCTCATCCGCCTCCGCGAAGCGCACAGGTATCCGCGTGTTTCGATTTCCAGCTGCAACCGCTAAAATATCTCGCTGTGTACAGGCTGCGTCGAATCTAGGGACGAATTCAAAGCGAAATCCGGTAGGCGAGTATAGCGATTCGATAAAGTAGATGGGGCATTCGTCTTTGATCCGCGAGAGGAACGAGGGATCGGAGAATCGTTGTTTCTACGAGGACGAGTATCTTAGCGGAACGAAACAATATCGGCGGGCAGAGGAACAAAGAAGAGCACAAAGAAAATGGAACAATTGCGGTCGGCGAAAGTTGCATGGGAATTCAACGATCGCGATGTCGAAACGCCACGTTTCTCTGTGTGTGCGTTCCGAAATTGTACTCCGACGACGAAGCGAGTAGGTAACTCGCGTGCACTCACCCTTTCGTCTCTCGTGAAACTTCGCAGTGAGACACACAATGGCAAGTGCGTGCATACGTTCCTCGCCGCGCGCGTTCCGCGTGTCGGCACACGAGAATTTCCAGCAAATTTCGAAAGAGACCCGCGAAACGCGCACACGCACGGTTTGACGGAAGTAAAATTTCATCGCGACACGTATCGAATGTACGGCGTGTAGCGCGTGAATAAAATACGCTCTTTTCAAAGCGCGACCCGGTTGCGTCAACGAGCAACGAAATAAAAATATTTGCACGCTTCTCGATCACCCCCGCCCCGCGGCCCGTTTAATGAAAATGTTCCCGATCCCGCCCCATATATTCTCTACAGAGCAAAAAACACGCGGAATTGACGCCGGTTATCGCGTCGTTCGGCAAAAGGCCCGATCCGAGTGAGCAAATTTACGCGATTATCGATCGCGATGCAGAAAATTCGTTATCTATTCGATTCGACAAGACCGTCGTCGCGTAAACTGGCTTATCGCCGAGCCTACGTTCCGGCAAATCTCGCGAGACTGCAATTTACACCGGCACCGTGTCGCTGCTGAAGAGGTACACGGACATATTCCCGGCTAGCAACCAGTCTTGCCGCGAATCTGCCTATAACGATCTCGATTCTAGATGACTCTAGATGACGCTGCGATTCCGCTCAATTTTCCTCCCTATATCGCTCGATTATCCCTCGAATATTCCATCGAAATCGCGTGTCCCTCTGGCTCCCGCTGCACCACCCTTAAGCTCTATGACGCGAAACGTTTCCACCCGCAAACCAACCAGCATCCACGTCAAACCGCTTACGCTCGTCAACGAGTTGCGACTAGCGTTGGAGAAACCGCGACCGATTTCGAGGCGCAAGACGAATTATTTCCATGCCGTGGACTCGATCGGCCAACTACGAGAAGCAAGATTAGCCGATCGAAAAACCAGATCGTATCCTCTTTCTCGTCGGTATCCGTCTCTCTGTCCGTCCCCCTTTATAAATATTTATTATGCGCAAACAGGAGCGAGCAGTCCTGTTAGAAACCGCGCAACGAATTCGATCGTGAAAGCATTTGCTTGTACTTTAAACGATCTCTTCCCCGGTACACCGTATAATTCGATAAAATTTGAATTTATCGCCGGCACCGTTATCACCCGGACACCGGAATCGCGCGAAACGTTTTCTCGTTAACCTTACGGTCCATCCGATCTCGTTGCATCCGCGATATGACTCGCCGTGTGTACGTACGCGTGTTCTCCTTCCACGGTGTTACGCCTGCGATTCTGCGATTAACGACGACCTGCCCGAATCGAATGCCCGAATAAAAGAGGCTAATTCGGAGAAAAATGGTGGAATTCGCTTAGCAGATAGGACGAAAGATCCGCGGTGTTTCGATAGCCGGGAATAGAGGGAAAACGAAAGGAAACTGAAGCCGTTGCGTTGGTCGGGTTTTGCGCGATAACCAACTTTATTCGGACACGAGATTTCTCGCGGAAAATACACCATCCACTGATTCTGCGGCGTGCCGGGAATACGCTGAACCGGGGCTGAATTGACGTTTGACCAGCCCGTAGGCGATACGAAAATATACCGTAAATACGCTCCACTCTTACCCTCCCAACTCCTGCCCTCTGCTTCCTCTATTTTATTTCTTTCCTTCGCTTTTTACCCTCCCACGGATACCGGCTTCGCTACGTGCTTCGGAAGAACGTTACCGCATTGCGTGGCCCGGCCTTTACGCTGTCCAGCCATCCGACGCCAAGCGTCGGCTAAGCCCCCGATAATTGTCAACCATCTCCTCCCTCCGTTTCTCGAATTTCTTCCTCTAATTTCTTCCCCTGATTTCTTTATTTTCTACTCCCCGGTACGACACAGTCCGCTAATACATATACCTACACGATACACTGGAATGTCTTCTAATCGAGTACGATACGGACGAGTGCTCCTATCGGGATCAACATCGGGTCAGAGCGAGCCAATTTTGCCTGCCAAACGCGAGACTACGCGATAGCGGCATCGAGCTTCGGTAAACAGATTAAACGCGCGTTCGACGAGTCACGCAGGTGAGCACCAATTGTGTTCATTATTAACGTAATCAGGTGCACCTGAGCCGCGCATGAATACGTTGCAACGCGACCAGTTTACGCCAACGACGCCGAAAGGCATCGATATCGCTGGGTACGCGCGAGCCGACGCCTCGCGTCGCCTATCCGCGTCACCGTTCATGATCCTTGCGAAAAGCGGAACGCGACGGACCCGAATCATCGCCCCGACAACTCTAGTCCACGAACGATGAGTCCGAGATTGTACCGAGGAGAAGATTGAATTTCGTCGCGATATTCCGTCCTCCGCGGGCCGAAAGAAACGGAAATTCGACGAGAACGATAAAAGGATCGGAAACTGTTCGAAGCAATTTGAAACGGTCCTTCCGTCTCACCGGGACGACGCGACGCGCTGGAATTTTGGCCGAGGGAGACCAGATCTTACGTTCGCATAATGCTATAGTGCCTCCTATTTTCGCCTCTCACCCTACCGCTTTCTCGACATCCTTTACGATTTCGTTGTCGTCCCTCCTAACGGCGTCGGCCATTCCGACCGGGGCTGGGAGTGGGACGCAGGGCCGAAGAGACGGCAAGGTAAAACGGGGGGAGAGGGAAAGTTCTAAGCACGAGGCTACATTTGCATTTCTCGACACTTAGGTCCGAGCGGCGCGCCGACGTTATGCAAATCTTAATTCGCCTCACTGGAAAACTCGCGAAATTACCGAGCTTTTCCGCGATAAAGTCCCGAATAACTTGCACGCCTTTGATCCCTTCCCCCCCACCACTTCACACCGGCCAACATGTCCGCCACTATGGCCGAAAAATTATTCGATGCCCGATAACGATAATCGCTCGCGAATCAGACGCTAACGGTATTGCTCTCTAGCGGCATTAAAACGAAATTGCACGCCCTTACACTCGAGATTCGCTGCTTCAACTTATCATTTGTAAACTCGATCTTCCAACTTCTACGTGGACTAATTAATAGCCACGATGGGAGGAACCATGATATTTGATCATGGCTTAATTAAAACACGCGATACAAACGTAAAACTCATTAACAATATTGCACGAATGTGATCGATGGAGCAGCTCGAACCGTTCGTAACAACGAATTATACGTACCGTTAATACGTAGTTTTGTATCGAAACCGCATGTATATTAATATTCGTTATACGAATACTGTATATAAAATATCGTTGAGAGGTCGAACCAATGCCTCTACAATATGCTCAAAGCTTTCCCTCGAATTTTATTAAATTTCGAAATGTCAAGTTGTGTCAAAATATAAATTATTTTCCCACGTTCGAATAAACTAATTTTATTTTTTTAATTATTTTTGTTTTGCCAACGGAAAAAAAGTAACATTCATTTATAATTATTATTATAATTATCGCATATAATTATTTCGTCGTTGCAATATCTTTCCGGTCGATTGATGTTTCGAGAAATTTGAATCCTATAACCTATAATTTCTTGCGACGTAAATATTCGGATGTACTTACACTATCACGATGACTCGAACAAATTTGTAGTATTCTTATTGATGTTGCGACAGAGGTTGGGGAAATATACAAAAATCGTGTCACGTTGAAGCAAATGCGAGATAAAATCGTCCTAGATCAACGTACTTCGTGCAAACACGACACACGCACGGCACTAAACCAAACAATCGCGCTACTACGTCACAAGCAGGAATTCGAGCAACGCTAGCTACGTGACGGTTTTTGTTTAGACGAACTCTCAAGGACATGGAGAATACGAAGAATAATTTTACGAAATATATGCACGTGTAAAGCTATCGAAATATAATTTCTGAACAAACGATAACGCAGTCGACGATTGTTGCATTTATATACATAACCGATTGTTCGTATAAACGCCATATTGCGGTAAAAAAGAAAACGCAATTTATCCAAACGTAACATTACCTTCGAGTACGAGCTTCGTTATCGATCTGCAATTTCTTCCATATCCTCGGAAGATAAGTACCGACCCCAAAAGACTCCGACTATGAACAAAATCGCATTTATAAGTACAAATTAAATTTTATGAAATTGACGACTTACCACCATACCATAAGTCGATCGAATCCTCGATACTTTGTTTCGTTTCACTTCTGCGTATCTGCGCAATAGCAATTATGATATAATGCGCACTTCGTATTACACGATAATATTTACGATTACTGTTACGAGAATTATAAAACCGATCACACCACTATTATAAGATACGCGAATTAAACAAGCTTTTAATGTACCGAAAGAAAGCTATCACTGAATTACACTAATTTGCGTATCGCGTTTCAAACTGTACAACATATCAACTATCCAAGCCCGCGTCTCGAAGCAATTGAATAGAGGACGCGTGAGACAGAATCGCAAATCTAAAGCTCATTTCTGATTGGTCGAACGAAAACCTTTATCTTTCCTATTGACTTACAGTCTTGTTTTAAGGAAACCGATTATTCGTTCTTTTTGAAAATTATATTTGTCAAATATGAATTCATGCTGGAATGCGTAATCATACCAGAAAGTAGAATCTGATGCGAATAATTAAACTTTTCACCTTCAACGACGTAATAAAAATTCTGTTATCCTTTGATCCACACCCTCGAAATATGTCATCGAGTCTTCGTACATTGGCATCACTGATGCTTCTTTCCAGATGGTTTCTCCAGTGACTAATTCGTAATAGTCAAAGTCGGAAAAGAGTGCTTTTTAAGCCGGTGCATGTTCCTGAAATGAATTTTTAAACTTTGGTAAGACCATGATCGAAAGCGGGAAAGATTTTGTGCTCGAACAACGTCTATTTTGACATCGATAACGCTACTCGTTTATTCGATGTTTACGTGAAAACGTACCTCTCGTTAAACATCGATAATTCAAAGAATTTAACACGAAAATCTTATTAAACGCTTTTCGTTCTAATTGAAATATATTCTCAAAAATGTATACCGTAAAATATATTGCGATTGTGCTTAATCGTCAGTTACGTCTACCCACATGTTTTTACGATATTGGGTGTACTTGTTTGCTACACTCGTTCTGTTTTTAAGTTGTTAAGTCACCGTACATTGCTCTCAAACTTACGATGTTGATCGACGAATTAAAAATATAAATGACTTAAGGACCTATCGTACTAAAGTGCATACGAACTTGGCGCAAATTATTGCTCACAGAGTACGTATTGCTCGTAACGATTTAGTCACAGAATTAATTTATCAAAACGATTCCGATGAATGACTCGACAAAGAATCATCGCGTAAAATACTTGGAAATATACGAATCTTTTCTTATCTCTCTTATAACAAGCAGTTCAAATTTTCTAATAAATCCATATTTGCTAACCCCACATTTAGTATTTTATTTATTTTATTGACCATACTATTTTTCACACTCCCTGTATGATTGATTTAAAAGTAAATTCTTACTTTTTAGACATAAAGCGATTGTAGCTTTACATTAAAAGCTTTTACTCTCATTGGCATAGAAATTACATAATGACAGAGTACAAGCTCGTAGTTGTGGGAGCTGGAGGTGTTGGCAAATCTGCGCTTACTATTCAATTGATTCAGAATCATTTTGTAGATGAATATGATCCCACTATAGAAGACTCGTATAGAAAACAAGTGAGTTTTTGTTATAATGTGAACAAAACAACTATGCAAGAATATATTTATGAGAAACATTTTAAATATATAAAATATAGGTTGTTATAGATGGAGAGACATGCCTTTTAGATATATTAGACACAGCTGGTCAAGAAGAATATAGTGCAATGAGAGATCAATATATGAGGACTGGAGAAGGATTTTTATTAGTGTTTGCTGTAAATTCAGCTAAAAGTTTTGAAGTACGTTAATCTCCTAATTTATCAGAATTGCACTATTCCGAAAATTGTAAGATATTATTTGCACATAATCCATATGTAATCCATATAGGATATAGGTACATATAGGGAACAAATAAAAAGAGTAAAAGATGCGGAAGAAGTACCAATGGTATTGGTAGGAAATAAATGTGATCTTCAGCAATCCTGGGCAGTAAATATGACACAAGCAAGAGAAGTTGCCCGTCAGTATGGTGTGCCTTTTGTTGAAACTTCAGCTAAAACTAGGATGGGAGTAGATGATGCTTTTTATACTCTGGTAAGTAAACATATGTAATATAGTACGAATGCTTACATAGTTTATGAACTAAATGGTAAATGTTTATCATTTCTCGTGAATATATAAATATATAAGTACAAGAATTTATATCATATTTAGAGCAATGCTTTTATTTATATTGATTTTTTTACTGGAATGCAATTAATGAATTATAGGTGAGAGAAATACGGAAAGATAAAGAACATAGAGGTAAAGAAAAAAAGAAACGAATGAAGACAGGTAACTCAAGCCGTAGGAGACATCGATGCTGTTTGCTTTAAATCACTGAATAACGTTAATTCTCTCATTCGATACATTAATATGGAAATAGATTGTAAAAAACATTAGATTATGTTCACTTTACGCACATTTTTGCAGCTTCCTCTATAGAATATTGTAATAAATTACAAGCACAATTTTTTCTATACATTGGGAGGGAAAAAGAACAAAATATGTAATAGTATTGTATTATATCGCATACATTTTTACTCTTGAAGTTAAATTTCATAAAATACATTATTTGTTCAACAGTCTGCCATATAACTCTTAATATTCCATTAGCAGAAGAATTTTAACCCTTGATTGCATGGAATAGTCAGTGTTGAAGAAAATATTTTTTAGGCTATCCATTTATCTTATTATTAGGCATGGGAAAGTATTATCTGAAAAAAAAAGAAAAAAAAAAAAAGAATTCTATAGTTTTAAGTATGATGGATGGAAAAAATATACAATTCATCAAATTTAACATATTCCATCTTATGTATTTTTTACATATTTTATTCAGATAGTCCATAATGTTTTAACATATATTTAATTCACTGATTAAATATATTTCTAATTTTTATTTCTACGTTTTAGTGTGCATAATAAAAAATTCCACTTTCCTAAACAGAAAAATACACGCCATAAAACTCAAGAAAATAAAACATGGATAACTCATTTTGTGCTGTGATTAAATAATCTTAAGCATGCCATGCTAGTTAGATATTACTGTGATTAAGTATGCAATTTTCACATAAACGCCTATTTACTAATTTAGAAGTATATAGGTTCGTTCGCGTTTCCTTTCTTTAGTGCAATTAAAAATATATACTCGAGATTCCTTATAACGGTAGAAAATAACATAATTAGTTGTTAATTTCTATAGCAATGTTTTTTTATACGTTTACTGTAGAGAAAGATTGGTAGGTACGAAGTTATTTTTATTATTGTACGAATGTAAGCGTCATTTTTATCGATCATTGTTATTTCAATGTACAAATTAAAAACTCATAAAAACTATAATTTAAGGATTAGTTCATGCAAACCAGAATGAAAGTTTGCATTGATATTTGAATGTCTATTATCATCTTTCTGTAGTAATGAAGAGGTGCCGCATTTTATCACTGTTTCGTATCTCTTCATCTCACCGTTTTCATATAATTTTTATAATCACGATCATATTATGGAAAGTATATAATTTCGAGACATTACAAATATCAATTGTGAACTTTTATTATGATCATATATTTTGATATTTGTTCAGACAATAATGCCATCCCAATTTAACGAGACATGAATCGGTAACACATAAAAAATTAACTCTTTTTACAAAATCCATGAAAATGTTTAATGAAATATATAAGGTTCGTCGTAAACGATCGTGTCTCGAGTCTGACTGAATTTTAAACAATCAAGGGTTAAATACTTTGCTATTATATGATCTAAATAGTACAACTTGCAAATATTCATTTGCAAATGGTACAATTTGCGCAAATTTGTAATACTAGCTTTTTCAAATATTGAAAATGTGTATATATAAAATTGCACAGCATAGGTGTTATTATGTAGTTCAAATTCGTAATAAAACATCGTACAAAAAGTGTTCTTTATATCCATTCTATCTTGAATGATTGTCTTTAAACATTAATTATAGGTCATCTATGCTGTTTGGTTTTATAACATTGAAAGAGCAATCGACAAACCATTGTCTAACCAATTTTATTCTTACAATATTTCATATACACACATACACACACAACACGCGCCCGCGTGAGCGCACACACACGACACTCGCATATGTATGTATAAAAATGACGTTATCCAAATCAAACGGTACTAAAAATTTGGAAAAATTAAATTTTTAAATCAAAGTTCATGCGTCTCTATGTCATGTGTAATATAAATTCAATGTCAACTTTATTGCTCGCGCATATTAAAGGAAGAAAAATTAAGCGCGTATATTCACTGTTTCATAATTTTTTTTATTCTTCTATTTAAAACACATTATCCAATAAAAAAGAAAAAATATACAAGCATACACAATAAGTACAAATTATAAAGCAATGTTTCCTTTTTATTCAATACATATACTAAAATATACTAATTCAATAGCCACATATATCGATAGATAGGAACGTAAATGTAAACGAATATGATTGATTTCCAGTTTTCACAGATTCGGTATAATATTCACTTTTAGAATCGGGGCAGAAAATAAATCTGTAACGATTCGATATGATTCATTCGTTATTTAAAATAGCCTTATATTCAAAAATATATACTTCATACTCGTAATATAGTACCACCATTTATATATTAATCGAACATTAAAGCACACATTTCAATGTGTCAAATGTTATTGTGCATATACATCTTAGTTTTTTAACTTGATATTTAATATATATTTTTGTTAACAGATTTTCTAAGAATTTTTGTATTAACTGACTAGGACCTTAAATTTAACACAATATTCGTCATTTAATGGCATGGTAAAACTATTGCAACGATACAAATGTAATAATTAGTTTATAAAATAATTGAAATTAATAAAAAGTCATTTATACGTACAAAATATGTAGTTTTCTCATCCGGTACAAGTAAAACTATTAATTTTTGTTAAACAATAAATAAAATTGGCATTTATTTCAAGAAATTGGGAAGCTTTATGTACAACACAATATTTTTGGTTTCATTTGCATTTATTTTCGAGCACCTAGGTAAATATAAAATCGTTATACGCCTATATGATTCTGTATGTAACTATATCACTGTCATGGTACTGTTTACTATACGTATAAGCTATCTTCTAATTACATACGAAATGGTAAATGTAGGCTTGTGTGTATACAATAATATATATATATATATATCGTAGTACATATAAATAAATATATATATATATATGGCACGTCAGTCTGTACGTTTAATTACTTAAATCACTTAAATCACTTAAGAGTAATTATTAAATACTACCGTGTATCTGTCGTCAAATCTTATGAATTGTTTTGTTACGTTTGGCATTATTCATGGCGAATAGCTTTAGCACTACCGTATCATTTCCATATATTTCTGTTTATGTTTGCTTAGCATTTCAGTCACGGTTACCAACTGCTTTATTGTTGGCTAGAAAAGAAAATATATTCGCAAATGCAGATCCATGGATATGTTCTAATTATACGCAGCTAATGCGTATGAATATATAAATTACAAAACATACCTGAGTTTTTGACAAAACTTGAAGTTCTTTTAAATGAGAAACGCAAATATGATGCAGCGTTGCCAAATCTCTAGCCGTATCTGAAACACAACTCCTATTTCTTGGATCTGCACCTTCGGATTCTGGTTTCTCGGTCACATTCTGCAATATGAGTTCAAATTATTTTAAATTCAAATTTGATCCTATTACTATGTAAGTCATATGCTTACAGATAACTGATCCAGGAAAACAACCATCCTCTCTTTGTTTTTAAGAATAAATGGATTAACTACTTCCATATATGGTTCTTTACCACCAAATTCCACCAGATTAGCCAGATTTTGTAAACATTTTGCGACCATTACCAGTGATCTATAAAATTATTTAATGAGAATTAACAAGCAACTTATACAGTTACTAAATTTCTTACGTTTAATATAGACCTACCCTACCTTGCAGCAGCTGGAGGTGGCGGTTCAAACCTAGGATTTAATATGGCAGGGCAAAGTAGGCGTAAAAATATAAATCCACTGACTACCCGCGTTCTGACTAGTCTCTCATGTGGCCATTTGGCAACAACTGCTCTTTGCAAACATCCACAAATATATCTCAAGGTCCTTGGACATGCGTCGGGACTTGTAAAAATGCTTAATGTCACCTCGTCTAAAACCTAAAATAATATTGATTGCATGTTACATAATCATTCGGAATAACTTAGTATCAATTCGTATTCATTTACCTGTAGTAAAAATTCTGCATTGCTGCACGCATCTTCCGGAGAATCCATTTTTGTTGGATTTAATTCACAGCTCTGTTTACTTTCAATCAGTTTGACTATGGTATCGCGTAAAGCAGCTTTAAGAAATGAGGTACAAACTGATTTCATATATAGATCCATTAAAGTAGTCGTAAGGCTGGCAGCTCTGAAAAGTGTTGGTGTTTCATCTTCCTTATCCACCTACATAAAACAATACGTATCATTAACTAACGAAAAGGAACATTTTTTTTTCGTTTTTTCTTAAAAATTGTTAATATAAATGAACATACTTCCGCTTGATTTAACGATCGTAAAAGGTCTGCTTCTTTTCTCTCGTGCCTAAATATACAAGTTTCACATTATATAATTTTACAATTAAACAAAAATAAAAAGATACTTGATACACCGTATATTTTTGTGTATACCTAAATATTCTAAGTAAACTATTTGCCAATGGTACTCTATCCAAATGACAAACATCTGCTAATGCCCTAACAACATGCAATTCTGGATCCAATAGTAACTGTTGCAACGGACTATATTCTTCCGGAGGCATCGCAAGATCGTGTCGATACCTGCAATGATATAAATGCATAAAACGTATACGTATACGTAATATGTTAAATATATAAAAAAGAAGCTGCATTCGTATCATTTTCACCTTATTCGTAAACGAAGTACGCCCCATTCACCAATCGGTGTAAGTCCTGACAACGAATACCATTCGTCCATTTCTTCTCCGTTCGTCAAACTTGCCAGTTCAACGGTCAATTCTGCCACTTCCGTGTCTTTACTACGTTTTCCTTTATTATACAATGTTAAGGAAAATGACATAACATCCGGTGGTACATCCCTATGGAGTAATTTATGATGAACATTATTAAAATATATTCAAATTTTAAGGACCGAATCATATACATACTCTAAAATGAATTCTTCATCCCAAATTGGATGTAATCCAGTCTTAACTTTTGTGCGAGCAACTTTTACATTATTTAGAGCCACTATGATGAATGGGTTCGGTACTAGCTTATATGGAAGTCTATGAGCGTCTAAAATATGCAGATGTAATGAACGTAATTCGCGAAGACGAGCAACCTTTGGAGCACGAGTAAGTTGTGATACACATAATGGTTTCAAGGCATTAATCCAGTCTAAAGCATTCTCTGAATTTGGTGCAGCCAAATATGTTATCGTGGCCAAACATGGTAAAGCACGTTCAACTAATTGAAAGCAATGAGGCCTATCGAACACGCTTTCATGAACCTAAAAAAACTACATCTCAGGAATGAACCTCAACAACAATTTGATTGTCATAACGCTTACTTAATGAATACTTTATCCATACGCGCGATTAAGGTAATCTGTTGTCAATGTTAGTATAATTACATACATGAGATATATATATATATGACACGATGATGTGAAAAAATGAAGTTTGGTTTAACTATAACACTCGATCTACCTGGTATAAGTAAGCACAGCTTAAATCGATAAGACCTTTAGGTTTGGTCCTTTTTGGATTGTCATACAAATACAAATGAGTATCAGTTGCATCAACTAGAAGTACAAAATACAATGCTTTCCACTTTTTATTTTTTTCTGATTTTTTTTCTAAATATCCTTGCATTTTAATCCCTTTATTTTTCTTTGCCCCAGATTGTTCGCGACATTCTCTAAGGGTTGCATATATCTTTTCTGCATGTTGCACCTCTCTATTAACTCTTACACTACCATCAGGCTCAGTTACCATTGCTTGAACTAGAGTGTGACCCTCCACTATTTGTTCTTTCCGATATCTATACACAAAATTTACCATTTATAACGTACGTACTTTAAAATTAACAAAAAAGAAAAAAACAGGGAAATTTTAATTACCTATTTATAACAGCATCGAGACATTCGAAAGTTCTACCACCCATGAGATAACGTACTCCTTTCTTTTCGATCCTAAATCTTTGAATTTGATTGTTTATATGAAAGAAAAGTGAATAATCTCCAGGACTGTTGTCCGAAGGTCTGACCTGAATAATGAAATAAAATATTATTACTTTAAAAAAAATTAATTTATCATCTAAAAATTAAAAGAGAATATATAATTTACCAAGAAACTACCCGGTCCTGCCTTTACTAACATATCTACAGCTTCACTTTTGGTGACATTAGGATGAAACCAGGAGAACACGGTATTAGGATCAATGGAATCATCTAAATCTTCCACTAATTCACGAAAAATTAAGCCCTGTTCACCAGTTCTATGTGCAGTAACCCATAACCAACCATCTCCCATATCATTGTGCACAAAAAATATGTCACCCTTCTGGAAGCTTAATTCATCTGTGTCAGGCATTTTTGTATATGGCAGTATTGCAACTATTCGTTTCTTATCATTCACTGGCTCAGGAGGTGGTGTAGGATGTATAAGTCTTTCTCTCTTTAAAAGATCAGAGCAATGAGTATAATATGCAACAAGGTCTGACAAGCTGTTGAACTGTCTGCCTCCTGCAATAAAAAGTATATTATTTCATATACCAGTTCCAACTGTAACTATTTATTATATCTACATGTTTGTTGTACCAATATAATAATCTCCACACACAGCTGTAATCCTAAAATGATTAATGCCAGTTCTGCCCAAATAAGACAACACGTAACTCCCAGGCTTCCTATCACTTTCACGCACTAAATAACTACCCATTTTACTTGCATCCCATAGTCTTTCTTCCGCAGTAAATCTATCTAATCTACCATGATACCACCTAGAACATATTCATGTATTAATCATTTTAAATTCATTAAACTTTAAATGTAATTAAAAACGTTTTCATTGAAATTTGATTGGCATTAAATCTCACTGATTTTCTGGTGGAGCTGTTAATAAAGTTGTATTAGCACTGTCAGGTTCTTCCGTGTCTTGAATATCATCTGGTATATTTTCAAGAAATGGATCAAATTCATTTTCCGCATTCATAGATTCATTTTGCCCACCATCTTCACTACCAGTGCTAGGAGAACCACCTTTGCTATTATGATCCATCTGCAGATACAATGGTATAAAAATAAATATTAAATACTTTATATATAAACTTCACTAAGGCTCTACCTTGATTTTATGATAAATGATTTTCAACATATCTTGAAGCACAGTGAGAAAAGTTTCTGACTTGAAACAAATAATAATACGACAATGTTTTTGTTTTTATAGTACATCGCATTATGTATCACGCTACTCTAAACATAACATATATTTGTGTCAACAAGACATAAATACCATGAGCCAGTATCTTCTTACGATTTTCCTATATGTATGGCATTTTACGTTTTCTGTTTCGATAACTATAGAAACTTATCGAAAACATTGTGTATAAATGATACCGCAAGCTCCTTTTCGTCGAAATATTTAAAAAATAGTTGGGAATCTACGGAAACGTCTAGAACTCTGGCAGTTATTACAGATTTTCAAACGTGCAATCACAATGCTTTTTTTTTTTTCTCGAACTATTAATACTCTCAGCGATGACACGATAACGTATGAATAATCTATGATGAATAATACCCGTACGTACCTTAGCACTGTTCGACACGCTTGGACCTCCACGCACAAATTCTGCCATTTTCGGTTCACACGCACTCCTTCATACACACGATTATGAAAAAAAAGACTTAAAATATTAATTGAACGGCATCCGTTTTATTGCGATTCTCCTTACTACAATTATTTACAAAAGTAGGCTGTTATTGATATAAAATGTATTGACGTTTCTCGGCAGCCATTTTACTACTGCACGCGTTGACCGCAGAATATAGAGAGGCAACGAGTCTTATTTATCGTATAAACTATTTAAATACTCTTAAATATCGACGACATGTTTTCACAGTTGTTCATTTATCGTCTACCTCGAAAATAAAAATTTTATACATCGAATAGGCTACGAAATTCTTAAATGCACTTTTATAAATAATACACCATTGACAATGCGCTTATATAGACAGCTAAATACAGCGATAATGATAACTTCTTATCATGAGATACAATACCGTCGACAATCTTATAGATATCGCGAATTTTACTATAAATTATAATATGAAATCAATTTGATTAGAAATGAAACAAATTTTGACAAACTTTCAGGGACAAACAGTCGTGCGGTAAACATTAGTTCTTTCTTGAATTTTTTCGTTTATTGTATATTCGCCTTCTGGTATGGTAGAATATTGTTTTGGTGTTTGTTAAATCGAGTACAACTCGGATGCAAGTTAATCGTACATAATAATTTTATAGAACGATTTGTTATCATTATTGCATCGTAATGGTAAGATTATAGATTTTTATAATTCATAATTTACTTTTCGAATTGTTGAACATGTGACCATAAACAGTAGTCAACTGTTATCATAACCTCGTTGATACCTACATCAAAGTGCGTCAAACTAAGTAATTCTTTCTAAAGTTCTCTTACGGGGGACTCGTAGTCTGCCCTGTTTAACTTTCAGAGCCTGCTAACAGTAATTTTATTACTGATATGCTCCTGTACTTATCTTAGACATACCGTGCCCAGTTTGTTGGACAATCGATTAGGAAAAGTCGGGTATGTACACGTTGATACGTATATTTTGATACATTAAGAAAATATATTATAATCGTTGATACTAATACGTTATAATTAGTTTTCAAGGTACTCTTTGGAAGTGTGCTAGGATCGGCGAGAGAAAAAGCCCGTACGTGGCAGCGAGTTGTCTTCTTATGGCATTCAATATCTTATTTTGGAACTGAAAAGTATCTTCGTCGAATAACCGTATATTTATTGTAACTGCAATGGATTTTAATGTAAATAAAAAGTAAGAATATTCATTTATTATAAATAACCGTACGTGTTCGCGTTACTTAAAGAAAGAGCAAATTATATAATTTGCTTAACTCGGAATAAAAGGAAATAATTGACATTTCAGCTATTTGCACGGTATGTTTTATTTGTCAACATGTTGGTTTCTCCAAAGCTATATAATTATCCAATTTGAGCACATTTTCTCACCATATTTTCATAATATATATATATATATTTTTTTTTTTTTTTCTATAAACAACAACATTCTTTTATTATAGTTATTGTAGAGTCGTTATATTGAGCAGTGTTTTACGATATACGATATTCGTTAAATAGATATATTTAACACGTGTGTTTTCCTGTTTACTTCGCGGATATGCTACTATTTCAATGACAATAAACCACGCATCATGACTAAAACTTGTACTCTGTAATAGAAGACATTCACGGTAGTAACAATACCAGAAGAAAGGTACGACGTTCTCTGTTTGATAATTTGATCTACGGAAGAAAATCGAGCCTTTCTAATCGCACCATTTCGCACACAAATCGTGATTACAGAGTAACATATGGTTTGCGGTTTTTGCGAGGAACATTGGAAAATTATACGAAGCACAACCTATTAGGAACGCTTATTGTCGATTCCTCGAAAGAAAAGTATCTTCCCCGTGATATGGTTGGAAATCATTCTTAGGCTAAAGAGAGTCTAGGTAACGTACACGTATGAGGATAAAGGGTGAAGAAGAAAATGTAAAAAGAGCAGAAGACACGGCGGGATTACACGACAATTAATCGTAATTGGATAAAGACGCAGAAGGTTGGAATTCGATCGTCGCGTGATCGAACTGTAGCAAATTCCTCGCAGTTAACCACATCGATTATATTTATATTTGTGGTCTCGTTTAATCGTTGGCATATGAGGTACGTTACTTGCCTACGGGTAATTAAAAAAATACATAAAATAACGAACGCAAGGTCTAGTATCTTTCTAAAATATATAGTACGGTACTATGCGCCCTACGGATATGAATCTTAGATATGACGTGTTTAACGTTCGTTAAGATGCCACTTACGATCTCGGTTCACTTTGTTATCGTATCGATAAATAAAGATATTATCTTATTACCCCTTACGTACAAATTAGTATGCTAATTATTTGTCTGTGTTCGAGTATAATCGAATAGTTGATTTGATTAAAGAGCGTGGATTCGCGGCTAGGCGCGAATCTTGCGGAAAGTGGAGATATAATTAATGATCGATAATAATTATTACGACGTAAAGTTATTACGATGGATGTTCATTTTAATTGGATCGCCACTGCCATTGTTGAAATAATTCCGAAGTGTGGGTAATCGTTGGAAAGTATATCGGTTCCTCGTGGTATTTGTCGAACGATGATCTCGTGAATGACACTGGTGGCCCACTCGAGATAGACACCCTGCATGTGTAAGGCTTTCGACGCTAACGTTATAAAAATTACATCGTAACTCCTAGTAACTCCACAAATGAGAAATAATAAATTCGAATAGGGAACCACGCGTTCCATTCGTTTTCTTCGTTGTTAAAAAAATATCCGATAACGTTACATTTAGTCCAACTAAAGAACACATATCGCTCACGACTTTACTCTTTTCCCCGCATTCCAAAACGGATAAAAGGGTCATAAAAAATACATTCGTAAGCATTTCTTTCTTTTAAAATTCGCAACAGTATTCGCCGCGGTCCTGGTCCGCGACGAAAGAGAGAGACAGAGAGAGAGAGAGAGAGAGAGAGAGAAAGAGAGAGAGATCGATTTTCGTTCGCTGTATCGTCGCCGGAGATAAACTCGCGTCTCTTTTCCCTGTTCGATTAAAACTTTGGAGTCGCGATTCACGTTCTCTTTATCGGGAATCTTGTTCGGGAATATATCGCGATATCGAGGGCTGCGCGTTTTCCTAGACGCGAACTGGCCGATTCGCGATCGGTTCGCGATCGGTTCGCGATCGCTGCCTCCGGTAAATAAGCTCGCCCTCGCGAACCGCGAACGAACGAACCGATCGCGCGCAGAGCTTTTCGCTCGAGTAACGTTTTAAACGGATCTCTCGTGGTACTCGTTCGTTGCAGAGGTTTATCGAAGGGTCAGGAAGAAGAGCAAGCAGAGCACGTAAACTCGCGTGTCGTTGTCTTTCTGTCGCGCGTTCGCACAATTCCTCACGTTCGGGCTCTCGCGGTTCTTGAACAGGTTCTTATCCTTGATGAAAGGCGCTCTCGGGTCCACCGTGGTCGAAGTGGTCGCGTGTTTGCTATACACGATTCTCGCGGTGCTTTTCTGCATCGCCGGCGTGCTCATCTGGTGAAAAATCCGATTTATCGTGGCGACTTGAGCGAACTTTGATTTCCCCTTGCTTATCTTGTTCCAGCTAGCCGAGGTGGTCCGAGTGGGTGGAGTCGCTCGTTCGATCTCTGAAAACGATTCCCCTAAACTGTGTAACCGAATGGAAAAACCGAGAGAGAGCTTGTCGTCGTTGACGTTCCGGAATACGGAGCCAAACGAGCCCAGGTATATACTTGCATGTACACACACGCGTGCAAGTACGTACATCTGTATCGTATAACTTACGTGCGATATAACGTACCGAGACGTCGTCGAAATCGGAACAATAAGGTCGTCCGGGCCGAACGACCTTATTGTCCCGATTTCGCAAAGACAAATCGCGACACGTGCGCACGAGTACACGTATACACGCGTACGTACACGGTTCGAGCAAAGTTCGTTTGTTATCGCGAGGAAATCGGCGTTATCGGAGCTGTCCGATACTCGCGCGAGCACGGGTACGAAAGTGTCAAGAGGAGAGACGGAAATTTTCTATAACCGAGATCGAAGGCGAAATCGAGCGAATGCCGGTCATGGAAGAATAACGCGTATTCGTGGATCGTATACCATCCGACGACGACTCACCGTACACCCTAAGGGTGGCCTCGGCTTTTCCCATGCTTGAGGACGCTGAACACGTGTACTCTCCCAAATCCGTTTTCTCTAAACGTCTTATCTTCAGCTCGCTCGTTGTCTTCCATTCCTCGTCCGGATGTCCCCGTTCGTCGATCTCGTATCTACCACTGTGTAGACACATCGTTTAACTTTACTGTCCGAAATACGTATGTGTGTGGAATCGATTTCGTGTTCCGGTTATGCGAGATAGCAGGACAAGTTCTCTCGAAGGATATACGCGCGTACGGAGCGTCATAAAAGCGCGGCGAGAAGAAGCAGAGGAGGATCGATCGATTCGAGGTATACACGCGTAAATGCACGCGTAAATGCACGCGTAAATACACGCATACTACGTACCCGTCCATGATTACTTGCTCCTTTTTCGTCCACAGGTTAATCGTCTTTGGATAAGCTTCGATCAAGCAGATCAAGGATACGTTCGTGTCCAGAGGCGAGCTCAATAGTTGGTTGGGAACCTTTGCGCTGGGTGGAACTGAAATCCCGACAAATATAATAAAACTCGGTTAACCATTTTTCGGACCGAAAGATAAATATATAAAGAGAGAGAGAGAGAGATGGGGGAGTTTTGCGGAAGAGATCTATGGCGTTATTTCTACTAGCTCTCGGAGTCTCGGGGTCTTGTGCAAAGAGATCCGGTGGATAAACGCGATTCGAAGGAAAGGAGAAATATCATTTAAGTTTATGGAATAATGAAAAAGGACCGAGGTGTCTTCGTTTATCCAAGTAGGGCAATGATATTCGGTAAGGCATAATCGATTACTCGCAGTTTGAAAGTACTCACAGTTTACCCTTAGATAGACTCTCTTGCTGACTGCCGGGGGCACTTCGTTTTTGGCTATGCAAAGATAAGCTCCCATTTGCCTCCTGTCTACCCTGGTTAATTCCAGCTTCTCACCGGACTGGTTGTCCACTATAAAATCTCGCATCGTATGAATATCTCGTTGAAAGCTCTCGTATACATATCGCTGGCCTCGTGCCAGCGTTCACACGTACACCAAATTACACGCGAAATAACGTCCTTTGCGTTAAAACAACCAGACCGTCCGCCTACCACCCCGTACAACCCTAAATCTCGCGTTCGAAAATCGTTCGCGCGATTACTCGTTGATCAGCAACGGGACGAACGATTTAAGGAACGACTATCGTAAAACCGGTCCCCCTATATCGAGGCCGACAACTATTCGCCAACTATTGTCGCGAATTTAATGATCAATAATAAAAGCGAGGCCCGCGAGGCTGTATCGTAAAATTCCAGGGAAAATTGCGGCAAGAGCGCCGATGGAAAGTTGGTAATCGTTTATCGGTTACGATATTATACGCGTTACGATATTATCGTTTAATTATGCGTATACGTTGGCGAGCGCTTTCGAAATCAATGAAGCGCGACGAATTAGATTATTATCGTGCAAACGCACGACATAAATCATCCAGCCGAGTTTCGCGATTCCGATAAAACGTGTCAGCCGCCTAATGAGATCCATCGAAAACGGGAGATTCATTATTTGCGTTGACAGCTCGCGACCTACGCCTCTCTCCCGTCTACGAATATTTTTCTCCCAACGTCCACCGCACTCAAAATATTGCGTATCGATTTATCAACACCGCTCGAGAATTCGTTCCATTAATATCTCGGCTGATCAACGAATTTGCCACGCGTCCGAGCGAAAAATCCCTCCGACGCGAGGCATTTGCCCGCGAGCATTTTCCAGCGCGTGTCGTCCACGCGGAGACGCGCGAAACCGCGAATTTCCGCGACACACGGCGAGATCGGCGAGATCGGCGAGATCGACGAGATCGCGGAGGATCGGGGGAAGCGGCACGTACGCGGAAATATATCGAAAGTCATCCCGAACAGACTAATCTCCATTCGATGAGACGTGTTCCGGCGTAATTGCTTTCGATCGGCATCACGTAGGTCTGCGAATTTACGACGTCTTCATGTTCCTCGCTAAGCGGATCGCGACGGTGAATCGACCGTCGCGTAGACGTCTTGGATAATTAGTTCTCGAAGGTGCTCGAATCGAGACGAATCTTCCAGCACCACCAAATTTTAATTACCAATCCCTCCGAGATTCGACTCGCGTCTTCGTCGCGCGCGTTATTCCCGTGTCTCTTCTCCCCCCCGTTGCCGTCGGGCAGAGAAACGAAGAAACGGAGAATTTTTCGGGAAGAATCGTGTCCGTGGATGGGCAATATTTAAAGGGCGGGGGGTCGGTGGAGAGCTCGGCGGACGTTTCGAGTAGCGAAGAATTAATAAAAAGAAGAGAATCGAAGGTTATTTGTCACCGGCAACGACGGTCGCGAGAGTGCTCGAGTCGAGATAAAAATGTAATATCTTACCTGGTATCAGCGGATCGTGAGGACCCCTCATAAGTATGAAACCACTTTTCTCGCGTCGCCAGAGCACACGAGGTGACGGTCTTCCGGAAGCCTTGCACGAGAGGGTGGCGTTTTCGCCCTCCTTCACGGAAACCTCTCCTTCGGATGTGCCAGTGCTGAGTATATCCGGCGGGACTGAAAGAAAACGATTCGTACACGCGTGTATCCCGTCTCGCGTTATCTCGCGTCGACTGTGATAATAAAATAGTAATTATATACCAGGAGACGCGACGGCACGACGAAATGGCGAGAAGAAGAAGGTCGCGCCGCGTGGAATTGCTATCGCGTTTTGGGGGGAGGGGGGTGGGAAGTCGGTTAGGTAGGTCGAAAATTGGATCGAAGCAAAGTGGAAGTTTCGAGACGGTGGTGTGTAGACATCGGGGCTGCGAGTCGCGTATTTGCAGAGACTCGCGTCGAGAGTCGGAGAGGGTGGTGCCGTTGGAAATTACGAACCGCCATAAAGATCGAGGATGATCTAACCGGCGGTACCAAAGCCGGCATGGAAATCGGGCTGACTCGTCTGTCGGCGGATCTGACCGGAGTGAAATCAGGTTAAAACGCTTCGCTCCCGGGGAAAATTAAATACCATCTATCCGTGGGTAGCAAGGAAGGAACATTTTCGCGATGAAATCTCGTTTCTTTTGAAGAAGCGCGGGGCCATTTCAATTACACGCGTTCGGCTTGGACAAATATTCTGTACACCGAGAGCGAGCGGCGGCGGCGGCAGCGGCGGCGGCGGTGGCGGCGGAGGTTGGTTGGTCGGAGGTAGGGCCGACGAGGTTCGGCCGACGTAGGGCGCGGGAAAAAAGGAAACGGGACCTTTCCTGTGTTTGCCCACAAAGGAATTTCATTCCATTCGGGCCGATCGCTCTTTCGAGTTGAATGCCGGGGCAACCGTACACACTCTTCGTGAATTCCCTCTTTCTCCCCCGGTGTCCGCGTACACGCACGATACAACGTTCCCCGCGTACCGTGAGCGTACTACTCACCGGCCAGACGTGCAGAGAGAAAGAGAGAGAGAGAGAGAGAGAGAGAGAGCAGGAGGGTGGGTAATATAGGCGTATACGTGTACGCGTTGTACGAGGGTGGAAGTAGAGGGAAGTAGCGGTGGTAGCGAAAAGGGGGTAGGATAGAGGGCTAGCGGGTGGAACGAATAGAAGGCGGGTGAGCAACGCAACGTTACGGGCCGTTCCGGCGGGGTCCCATTGAAACGTATTCTAGCGGCGAGGCGCGCATATTTTCCACCCCTTCTCGAGGTAGGCTAATCGAAACCGGTGCGTGCGTACGTGACGTCTCTACGACCGACCGCAAACACCCAACTGTATCTGGCCGTAGGAATGCGGTATAACGCGCAATTAGGCATACCTAGGACATCCACGCATCCCAGCTGGCTCAACATGGGCTTCGTATTCAGTTGGCACATGTAGCAACCTCGGTCAGCTTCCCGAAGCTGGCGAATATGGAGCCGCGAAGTGGCCTCCTCCTCGTCCCTCGATTGACTCTGATTCTTCGACCTCGCGTTCTCCAGCGTGACGAGAAACCGAGGCGAGTGAGTCACCGTGCGTTGGCCCATCGACAATATCGTCTTATCCTCCACTCGAATCCATCCCACCTGAGACAGCCATGTAATGGAACACGATGTTTCACACTTTTCAAAACTAGCACCACGGGAAAATGGAAAACCCGGCTACGAGAGCAAAGTTCGAATTCGCCAAACGGATCCGCTCTCTCGTTCCGCTACCGTTCCGTACCAGCTAATCGCGTTAATATCACTCACGCCAACGGATCCACGCGTATACGCGCGTGTATGATATTCCGCGTGCCGTATAAACGCACACGCGTGCACGCTCTTGCACGCGCGCACGGTTAATTATATCGACGTTTCTATTCGAACACGTAGAGTACCACCGCGTCGTCACGCGAAACGGGTGCGCGCGAACATAGTTAAATAACCGGTGACGAAGCGGATAAACGATATCCGAGCTTACGTACGTAGGTAATTCGAAGAGACGACGTGTCCGAGTGGTCGTACCGTAGTTGGTTTTTCCCGTAAGCGGGGCGAAAGTCTAGACGGAGAGCGGGCGATATCGACGAGAGAGGGAGAGAGAGGGAGATTAACATCTCTGGGCCAAGGGTCCCCAGGAAGCTGTGACAGCGCGACAGCGAGCGGACGGCGATCGGGTGCGGAATAGAGGACAGCTCGAGTCAATATTATATCGCGCGTAGCAGCCTTGTGTCTTGCCGTGTGTTTATGCGCACCGACGTATATCCACGACGGATACGTGTTCGCACGTATGGCCGGTAGCGGTAATTGCTTTTAGGCAAGCTCGAGCCGGTGTGCCATTGGCACCGCGGGAATCAACCCGACGAAAGGTTCAATTTAACGTCGTATCGCGTACCCCTTTGCCCCGCGGCCCACTCCCGCATCTCCTACGCGTTATCTATAACGCTGCACTTGGTAATTAATCCGAAGTGACTGTCGCGCACATCCCGTATGTCTACCTGTGAGCCCGTATGCGTCGGGTTACACGATGTCATGCGACACCGACCATTCGTACGCGCGCACCCCTAACGCGTGTACCTCGCAGCGCGAGGAACCGGTGCTAGGTCCACGCCGTTTACCTTCTACGTTTACCTCCTACGCGTATCCCTTTGCGATCGCGAGATCTTTCGATCCGTTTGCGAGTTGTCGCGATCGCGCCTGTCCATTCGTCGTGGCAGCTTCCGGCCAGTGGTCACGATAGCGGAAAAGACGCAGACGTCTTTGTCGAGAATAATCCGGCGAACGCGGGTAAGATATCGCGGTGCTTTTGACCGGTGTAGATAAGAAAAGAATAAGTGGGGAATGAACGGAGAAAGGGTGATCGGTCGCGTTTGAATTCCTTCCTTCTCCGGGGACAATCGATAATGTCCTAAGTACTTTGTCACGGGGGGACAACAGTTTGTACCGCGCGGAACGAGAACGGAAACTATTACGTCGCCGGCGGAGTCGTTATCTCGGCGACAAAGATAACGATTCGTTCGATGCTATTTCAGGATAACGCTCGACCACCCCCGTCCTCCGCCACCGGAGAAACGAGCTTCTTATCCGAGGAAAAGTTGCCGGATCTCTCGCGATCGGTTACCCGCGCTACCTACGCGTTTCGCGTAATTTCCAGCTTCGAGCGGGCGCGCTCTTCTTCTCTCGATCTCTCTCGTTATCCGAGGCGAAGGAGAGAAAAGGACCGGTCGGTATCTTGACCGTGGCCGTTAACCACGGTTCGTCGTGGTGGTCGTGGTGGAAGTTGGTCGTCCGGAGGACCGCGCGATATCCGGCGTGCGTTCGAGCTCGCAAATTGCATCCGAGGTACGGGCCTGCTGGTAGCCCGTCCGCGTTTGCACCGACCGGAAGCCCGTACACCGGAAAACAAACCGTGAGATTTCTCTGGAAAATTCCGGGACCGATTCGACGGCTGACACACATTATCCGCGGAGTTACGAAATTCCCCGGTGGGTACACGGCCGAGGCTCCGGTACCCCTCCGGTGTAATATTTCGAGAGACCCTGGGCCACGAATCTACGTTAGCGCTAAGAGATTGCTCCCCATACCCTTTTCCTAGGCCAGCCTCCGTCCCTTTTCCTCTTCCGTTCCATTGTAATCATGGAAACAATCATTCTTCGCTCTCCTTCCCACCGATGCTTCTTCGTTCTAACCTCCGCGATCTCGCTCCGTCTCGGCCTTCCTCTGTCCTCCTCTGTCTCGTCTATATCCTCTCCTCTCCTCTCCTCTCCTCCCCTCTCCTCTCTCGCCTCTTCGCCGAAAACTCGCCCCCTGCCCGCGCCGCAACCCTCTCTCTATCTATATCCGTTCATCTTTCTCGTTCTCTTTTCGTCTCCATCGCGGATTTCGGGCAAAACCCCCTGTCTTCGTTGCTCCAATAAGGTGGCGTGCGGTTCCGGCAGCAACGCTCCGATGGTAGTAGCGATGCCGGTGGTGTGGCGAGCTACCCTTTCGCTCGCCTCCGCAGCAATCACCGATTTGTCTGAATAAGCCCCGGGCAAGTATATGCTCATGCTTACCCCGGGGAAACACCACTCCGGCCAACTCACACCCGTCGTCTCTCTCACCCCCGTCCCCCGCCTCCGCCTCACGGCATTCCCTCAACATCAGCCCCCTGTCTCTCTCTTCCTCCCTCTCTCTCGTCGTTCTGCTTCCCACACCCTCGATCGGCCTGGCAGCGACTCCATACCCGAAAATTCTCCGGTTCATCGATGCTCGATGGGAAGCAGCTCGAGGAAGAGGCCGAGGGAGGCAGAGGGTGGATGTTTGGCGGCGGCGGCGGCGGCGGCGGTGGTGGTGGTGGCGATGACGGCGATGTCAGGGAAAGGGAGAAACGGAGTTGCCAAAGTCGCGTCGTCGTCCTCTCGACGAGACTTTGGTGTTAATCAGAAACGGAACGCTATGGATGGCGAGGCGTAAGGGAATCCACGCGAGAGGATCGGATAAAACGAGAGTCACGGCCGATCGGCGTTCGATCCGACGCCACCCGCGTCGGCTCGCGTTCCACGCGACGATGGTCCCGAGGAAATCGACCGCGTCCAAAAACACCGAACACGCGATTAATCCCGGAGACGATTAAATCGATCGATCCGCGGCCGGTGTATATTTCGTCGGCGAGCCGCGGCGGGAAAATCGCGTTTCGTTCGGTTCGCCGATCCACCATCGACGACGACACCGTGGCCGATCGGGAACAGCTACAGCGCGACCGGCTCTGGGTTAATCGAAAAGAAACGAGCCCCACGGTGGAAGAGCACTCTATCCGGAAGGGACAGAGTCGTCGTATCGGCGAACGAAGGGAAACCGCTCGATTCCCGTGGAATTTGCGCAAACGACGACGGGTCGACCAGCGGCAATTAAACTTGCCGCATCTTGGAGAGGAATTCCCCTCGCGATTCTTCGCGCAGCTTTTCCCCGTGGTAATTTATTTAGGTTCGAGCCGCGAACGTCCCCCGTCCCGTCGCTCTCGCGCAACATCGATCGTGGTCGAAATCGCGGGACCGCGTTCGAGCACGGAAATCGAATCGACGTTGAAATCCGTTAACGTCGAACCCCTCGGATCGCTCGTATCTCGCTCTTTAAACGCTAATTTATTTCACGCCCGTCATTTTCCGTTCGAAACCCGAATCATTAGCTAGGAGGTTGCGTGGATCGAACGTGAGGAACATTCGCGATACGCGCGCTGCCACGCTGAAATCGCGCGGTGAATTGAAAATCTTTCCGCGTCCAGTGCTCACGGACGATCATATTTATTTTCTCCATCTTTTTTCTCCCTCTCTTTCCTTCTTTCTCCCCCTTTTTTCCGCCTTCTCGCCCTCCCACGGACGTCAAGGATCCCGGCGCGATCGGTCACTTTTCGATTCTCGTTGCGCGACGGCCAATTCTATTTCCCCCGAGAAGCTCCACCCTCCCGCCCCAATTTTTTCCCTTTTTACGAGCTTTTTATGCGCCAACGTACAGACGAGAAGAGAGGATTTCGTTGGCTATAAATAAGGGAATAAGAACGATTCCGATTACAATCGTCGCGAACGAAATGGTCGACCTTCGATCTTTCGCCACTCCTCCTTTTTTGTTTTCATTTTCGCTCTGCGACGCGGCGTCGCGCGCCGTCGCGGCGTCTCCTTCGCTTTTCCATCGCCACAGTCGACGACCCCCCTCGAAAGAGGAACCGGGCAAACAGGAAATATCCAGCGAGTTTCGATCCGGCCGTGTCCAATTTATAGCAACTTCGACGAACGCGCACACTCGCGCGTGTACGTACACGCGCACAGGTATCCATGGTTATCGGCTTACCAAGTCCTCGCGTTTCGAATATTTCTCATTTATATTTCGCGCCGGGGGTGGATCGACGAGCAGGGGAGAAAGAAAGAGATCGTTTCGATTCCTCTTACGAATCCACGGCTCGAAGGAACTCTCTTCCTTGTCCAAATACGTCCGATGAAGTTTCGGATGCCATAAATCTTCCACTTTCGCCAGACGTCTTTTCCACTCTGGAGTACAAGAGAATCGCTTTGAAGTCGCACGCTCGTTCCAAATTCCTGGCTGCTGCAGCGGCGGTGCAAATGACCGCGCGTTCGAATGATCGGTATCCTCGCGCGACGTAGCCTCGCTGCTCGGACAGGGAGAGTCTCTTCTTTCCCCTTTTTCTTGATCCCTTTTTCTTTGAGGAAGCCGGAATAAAGAGGGAAAGAAAGGTTCGGCTGGCCCGTGTCTCGTCGATTCTGCTCGTTTCGCTTGCACGGAACAGTGTCGCGTGTACTAAAAGCTTCGGGACTCGTTGTCCCGGGGCTCCTTCGTCTTCCAGACGGGGCTGGTCTTTAGAAAAATCGAGCGGAACCAGCGCGACGAGGATAAGAAAACACGGGATCGACTCCGGCGAGGTAAATAAGAAAAGGAGGAAAGAAAAGTCGGCGAACAGCTGGAGAACAGAAGACTTTTATCGATTTCCTTCGTTACAATGCCGTTTTATTTCTTCGCGTGTCGCGGAATACGAATTAGAAGCAAACGTTCCTTTTTCGCCTCGAATTTCGACTCGCCTCCCCGTTTCGTCCCTCTCGCTTCCCCGAAACCGATCGATCCGCGGCGTTTTGGAACGGCGCGAAACCCGCGGCGGAATTCTTTGCCGAATTCCGTAAAGCGCGGCCCACGGCAAATCCGCGTTATATATTCATGAACGGTTAACTGGGGTTTAGCGGGAGGAAGTTGCGGCGCGAAAGAAACGGAGGAGGGAACGTTCTTGGGAAAATAGAGGCGCCTTAAATTCGAGCGTGTTAACACAACAATGGATCAAAGGAATTTCGCGGGAAACGCGTTACGGACGAAAGCGTGGCTCGTGTTGGCGCGCGTGAAGTTTTCATCGCAAACGACCACGACGCGTCGCTCGACAAACTCGCGAGCGTTCCCGCGAATTGCATTTCTTCGAGGCAACTGCGAGTACGCGGCGAATTCCGCCTCGTCCCTCGGCAAAGTCGAGATACACGCGACGACGCATCGAGAAGGATTCCGCCTCGATCCCGCAAATTTCTTTCTTCATCTCACCTCCACGTACGCGCCGATACCTCGACGGAAAGTTTCAGCCTCGCGATCCCCGAACCGCCCTGTACACTTTTGCGATTTATACCTTCGATTTTCCCCACGACGATCGACCTTCGACCTCGTTTCACCGCGACAAAGGAAGGGAAAAAGGAGAACGGGAGAAAAATGGGAGAAAGAGGGAGGAGAGAAAAAGGGGGGAAAAAGCGAGAGAAAGGAAAAGTGGTGGCAGATGCGGCGACGTAAATTTGGATGAAAATCGCGGCACGGAAGGGTCGTTAGCGGAACGGACGCGGTTACGCGATTCATCGGAGTATATACGGTCGGTTCCGTGATCCGTAACCTTACTCACGATTACGCGAAGCGTGTAGCGAGTCGCGATTTCTAATTAAAAGATACGCCGGGGTAACGCGTGGCTGCGTAACGTGGAAACGGGCGAAGCAAAATAAGTCGGGTACGAAGCGGAATCGATATTACTTTGCGGTTGTAACGACGGGTTAAGAGCGGAATGGCGGAGGATCGTTTGGCCGCGGGTTAAAACGCGGCTATGGCTCGAGGAGGGTAGTTTCGCGGAATGGATTCGCGCGAATACAAATCCGCGGTTGTCGAGCGCCATTCGGTGGTCGGCGTATCGGCTCGTTTCTGTCCGTGGACTCGCGCGAGCGGACGCGTTAAAAGCGTAACCTTCTCCAGCGGGAAAATAACGTAAAATAACAGGGACGCGGGACGCGTTTAGCCGCGGGCGTAAACCGGTTTCGACGCTTCCGTTCGATTCCGCGCGGAGAGTTGGCCGCGGCAGCGCGCGCGTTAACAGCGCGGAGCGGTGGCAAAAAGCAAACGTCGTTGGCCGACTTTAGTTTCTAATTACTCGATCGTTCGCGCGTCGTCTGCCTCGCAGAGTCGGAGCTGTAAAAAGATTCTGCCGGAACGAAGTTCGATGCTTCCGGCGCGCGAGTCATTAGCGGAAATTCGCTCGCGCGGCATCGAATATCGATAGTCGCGGATCGGCTGGAAAACGCGCGCGAGCAAAGTTATCGCTCGCGCGTTTCGGGCAAACGTTTTCGCGGTGGCACGGCGATGTTTTTCATCTCGTCGATGTAAACGGGCTGAAACTTGGAAGCCGATTAAATAGCCCGGAGTGCTTTCGGGCCAGGTTGAAACGGTGTCTTATTTTGCGTTCGTCGGCGAAACAGCCGCGGGCTGGTGGCAGAATCGGCGCGGCGAATTTATCGTTTAAACGTTGCTCCCGTGGAAAATTCGCCTCGTACTCGCGGCAATTTTCCTTGCCCGCGGATTCGCGCTCGCGATTCGGTGACGAATCGGCAGGGAATTTTCGCCACGCTTCCCGGCCTGAACAGCTGCAATATTAATCTCATCCCGGCACCGTTGTTTCCACGATTTTTCCCCAGTTTTTATCGCTAGACCCGGTGCACGCGCCGGCGTCAGCCTCGGCGGTAAATAAACTTTCGAAATTTTCCCTCGATGTTTTGCGTTTGTTGCCGTGCAAAAAGCGTAAAGGGTCGGCAGCCACATCCGAGTGTATAACGAAAACTTTTCGCCGGTTCTTCCCGGCCAGAGTCTCCATCGTTTTTCCCTCGGCCGAGGATCGGGATATTCCTTGCGGCAAAAGGGAACAACCGGCAGGTATTATTACGGAAGCCACGGGCGCGAAAGTTGAACGATATCTGGAAATTCGCGTCGATTAAAGTTTAATCCGTGACCGGAAGCTACGCGCGATGGACGACGCGACGCGGAATTAGCCGGCTCGGTGACGCTAATTCGCCGGAAATTGAAACTCCGCGGCGAAAGAAGCTGAAACGTAAATACACGCGCGACGTATGCCGGCCACGCAAAGAGTTAATCACTCGCGGCGGAATGCCGCTTAATTTCGTCTCGTTACTCGACGCCGAGCTTAATGAATCGTGTACCTGCCGAGAAGTTCGGGGTAGCTTTGTCGCGCGTTCGTCGGAATTGTCGGCGCGGGTTCGCGAGCGCGCGCGCACGCGAGGGCAAAGTTTCGGTTTATTTGCAGCTGGCGAGCGTGGAAGCGGGCGAGCGAGCGAGCGAACGAGCTTTTCGGCGGAAAAGGAAAACTGGCGGAAAGTTATTGGCGAAGAAGAGCGCAGGCGGCGGCGGGGAAAGAGGGAAAGAGGGAGAGAGGGAAAGGATGCCACGAGCATCCACGCGACCCATTTGTTGCGAGGAGATTACCGAAATCTCGAATTCCCTTATCGCGCCGTGACCCGTGAACGCCCCAAACCCGCCAACTCGTGAACCAGCGAACCCGTTTATTCCTACGCTCGCGGCCCGGCTAATTAACGCTCCACAGCCACGCCAGCTCTTCCAACCCCTCCTCCTTCTTTTCCACGCTGCAACCTTTAAATCCCTTACCTTGTGATTTCCCAGTTTCCGGATCGTGCACGGCAGAACGGCTTCTTTGCCGATAGCCGCGGTCACATTACCGATCGGCTCAGCAAAGCTCGGCAGATCTGTAAAAATTCAGTATCGTGGTTTTCATTTTTCCTTTCATCGCAAATTTCCTCCTAATTTCCCTCTCAAACTTTTTCCCACCGAAACGCGTTCGTTCCGCGCGATATCGCTATGGAGGCGGTGGTGGCGACGACGACGACGACGACGACGACGACGACGACGACGACCCCTTTCGCTCCTCGTACTCGCGTTTCCCGAGTTTCTCGTTAATTTCGATCAAAGGCGGTCTCGTTACACGCTCGACGCTCGCGACGACGACGCGACGCGACGAAACCGAGCTTACGATTACCTTCTATCCCGCTACTTTGTCCCTTCTCCGTGCCTTCTCCTGTATCGACGCGAACGATGGCCACGGATTTATGGGCAAAGTAGGAAAAAATCGTGTCAGCCCCCGGGCAAAATGCAAAGGGCGCGTATATCTGGCGTAGCTCGAAACATATTTCACATCGTTTACAACGGGTGCGGATTCGATAGCCGTGATTCGTTGCCCTCGTTAAAGCGTACGTGACGGCGCAATGACAGCGATTAACAGCTTGTTGGCGCATATAATATCGAACAGACGCGGGTGAAGCATAGTTTCAATTTCCTGTCAACGGATGCACTGTCACTGGTTAATGGCCAAAGATGATACGGCCTGGCGTGTGCATTATGTTAAGCCGATGGATCGAAAAAGGAGATAAACGGGGAGAGAAAGGGGCAGAGAAAGCGTGGGAGAAAGGATCTTCCTCGCGAACGTTTATCGGCGACCAAGAGGACTGCTGCTAGGCGACGTCGTAAAAAATACGTGGAATAACGCTCGGAAGAAACGATCGCGAGGCGAGATGGAGAAAAGGCGAGGTCTCGAAAGCTCGGACAGAGTCGTACGTATGGTGGTCGTTGTTCGGCTCCCATTGGAACACGAGTATCGAACGTTACTCGATACTTTAATTCGGTAGCTCGTCGTGTCGCGATGCTTCCGCTACGAGCACGCCGCGTGTATCCTCGATAGCTTTCCTCGATAGGACGGAATTGATCCCGGGGAAGAAGAAGGGTCGTGGCAAAGCTCGATTCGGAATGGTGGAAAACGATCCGGCGCGAGGCGATCGGCGAGAATGGAATCCGGTGTCTCGCAGCGCGGCCTCTGCGACCGGGGTTTGGGAAAAGTTGGAATAATCCGGAGGTGGAAGAGGGGTAAAAAAGGTTGTTCGATAGGGTGCGCCGGCGAACGGGAACGACCGCTTAGAAGGGAACGAACGGTTGGGTGGAAACGAAGTCGGCGGTGCTATCGGACGGCGTGGCCACATGGCGCGATATCGCGTATCCGAAGCGAGTGAAAGTTTGGAAATGGCAGGAACGGTGCGCGAATCCCATGGACCCGTCGACGAGCGACCGGAAGACGCTGCAGCGTTGCATTCGAGAGCGGTGCATCGTGTGCACGGAACGGAAAAAAGCGGGGCTGCAGCTGCGTCGACGAGCAGCGATACTCGAAGATATGGAGTCGTAACTGCTTATGGAAGCTCGAGAGAGAATCGGTAGGTTCCGTCGGAGCTTTTTGCTATTCGAGGAGTAAGGGTCGAGAAAGAGTTTGGGCCCGGCGGACCTGGGAAAACAGCTCCACCGCTATTATGATAAGATATTCACTGACAGAAACAGGAGAGGGAAGGAATTTTCAGCTCGCAGCATCGTCCTCGCGGCCGTATCTAGAATGTAATATAAGGAAACTCGGAGGAAAATAGGGAAGGTAGCGAAGTCGAGTGGCCATGCGACCGGCGAACGGCGAACGACGAACGACGAACGGCGACGAGGCAGAGAAGAAGAGGAAGAGGAAGAGGAAGAGGAAGAGGAAAAGGAAGAGGAAGGAAAGCTGGGTGTTGGAAGGAACCGGGAGCAGCGGGAGCAGCGGGAGCAGCGGGTGCACCGGCAGGAAAACGGGAGAAACGGAATGGAGCGGGACGAGCGGATGGTTTCGGAGTCGGAGTCGGAGTCGGTGGCATGGGTGCGCCTACGGAGCGGTTGTGCCTTCGCCAGCTTCGCTGCCGCCGCTTTTATTTTATGGCAAAATTATTCCGCTAGAAAAATAATTCAATCTCCGCCGGTGTACAGGTTACCGTGGCGTTTTACCGAGTCGAGTACCGACCACGATAGGACCTCACCGATTCTCGATCCGTCGCGAACGAAATTTCGCTGCGGAACCTCGATGCGCTGCCAGCGACGATAATTAGAAGCGGCACCGATACGAATATCCGCTAAATTCCTATTCGAATTTGTCGCCGGTGATTTAACAGCCACGCGTTATTTTCCTCCGTCCCTCGATGTCGAAAATATTTCCCGATGTCGCTCGCTAAGTACTCCGGAGTACACCGAATCGGCCGTCTCGCATCGCGAGAACGGATGAGCTCGACGAAATAAAATTATCCAAGAGACGGAGCGAACCGTTCCGTTCGATTTTAACCTTAATACGCGCGGCTACGGACGTATTTTCGTATTTTTATATTTTCTCGAGCAGGAACGTAACGTCGAGTGTGTAAACACGATAGGATCGATAGGCTGATATTCGTAAATACAGGAAGAATGGAAAAGCGGTACGCACCGAGCCGGCCAGTGAGTTGGTCCAGCGATAATATTTCCGAAGCAATTTCCCCGACTCGGGTTCGCTATTCGAAATACAAGAGAACGGGTCTTAAGGTCGAATAGGATCTATCTAACGGATAGCAGGGACGGGATAAAATATCGTCGGACGTATTTCGAGGATCTTAGGGACTACTCGGTCGCGTGGCGTGGCGTCGCGACGCGTGGTACGGTAATTGGTAGCGGTATGGTGGACGATACCTGCCTGCTGGCGCCTGTCGCGCGACGCTCCACGTCCGCCGCGGCAGCGGCGACGACGACGACGACGACGACGACGAATCGACGCGGCCGAAAGAAGTATGTTTTTACGTGTCGTCGATGTCCTCGCATCGCTTACCGTGAATAAAGAATCGTGGGGCCATACAGATGTTTCCCGACATTTCTCTTCGACGCGGTTCTCCCACGTTTCATAAAAATACATATCACCGAGCAGCGATACGTACGCGTTCACGCTCGTGCCCTCCAGCTTCGACAAATTACTCTGCTATTTCGAGCCGGGGCTGCTTCTTCTGCTGGAAGATACACCCGTAATCGATCCCCCGTGGTGAGACAGTCTGAGAAATGGTCGACATTGCCGGAACGAGAGTACCACGATCTCGTTCGCGAGGACTCGCCTTTTTCTCTCTTCTCGAAGGGAACCTGTTCGCGTCGCGCCTACCCTTCGCGTACATCGCGTGGCTCGAGTCCGAGATCTTCCGAGGACCGATTCGAATCGGGTCCCTACCGTTTTCCGGGACAGTTGGGAAACTTTGGACAGCTCTAAATTTCGTCGATCGTCCGTTATCGACCAAACGATACTTTCCGTTTCGAGCGGAATTCTAACGATAATGAAAAGTTGTACGCGGATGTGTTTCGCGTTAACTCGGTGAAGGTAGCTGGAATCGACCATTAACGTTGAAGATCCACGGCAACGGAGATTTTCCTTAAACGAGAGTTTAACAAAGTTCCATGTTATTACGATAGAACAGCGAACTTTAAAGATAAGAGGGAGCACAGAAGGAAGCTTGACTTTCAAGGGAAGGCAACTTCGCTTCCAAAAGAGCAAACATTTCTCTCTTCCTTTTTCGGGGCAGAGCTTGGCAAATTTTTATCCCGACGAAAGCATTAATTTGTGAAAAAACGGGGGGAAAAGAGAAAACGGGAGAGGGAGAAAAGGGAAAAGGAAAACGGTGAAAAGAGGAAAAAAGAAGGGAAAAGTATAGGAATTTCGCGGCACGGACGCGGCCTACCCCTACCCCGGCTCGCATTTCAGGGATATTTAAGTTTCATCGCGAAACTTTAGCGAGACGCTGCATTTATTAAATCCTCTGGCATATTTGACGAGCAAATCTGAGAATTGTCGTGTCACTGTCGTCGTTCCCTCTTTCCTTCGGAAAAGGGATAAAGAAATCGAGAGAAAGGTATCCGAGCCGGCGAACGGGAGAGAGGCGGGGAGAAACCGAGAGGAGAGGACCATTCATTTATTAAAGGAACGATATTAATGTTTGAACGAGTTACGTGGAACGAGAAAAGTAAAACGCAACGAAAACGACGATGGTCGTTAATGTATTCCGGTCGAATAAAAGATTACGTATTACATCTATAGAAAATCAATCTCGTGCGCGACTACCGTTTTAATTAATCACGCATCGGTTCGACGAATCGGCCGCTTTCGTAATACGACTTTTAATCGCAATACACCGTGTAATTCGATCAATTTAATTACATTTTCCGCGATACGATATACATTCAGCGTGCCGCGGTGATAGATAATATTTGATGCGTTAATATCGCGAAAAGTAGGAATCCGCGTGTAAAATGGGTCAATGCGAGCCAACGAATAATAAGAGCTATTACCGCCACGATGGATACACAAGGCGCAATTATATAACCATTACGATTAATAAATGCGGCATCGGCTCGCTAAAGGCGGCGCACCATCTGCGGCCGCCCGTTTAAAGTCGCATTCGACCTCGTTGTCGGTCGTTGCGACGCGTTTACGACGCTTATTAAATTCATTAAACGCGCGAGTCGCGCTCCGCCCGGTCTCCACCCTTGTTTCGATCCTCTCGAACACGCGTACGCTCTCCAAGCGTGCAGATCGTCGCGTAAACTCTCCGAAATACCGCGTTCCGCTCGCTCGCTCGCCAGTCGCGTCCGTCTTCGGCGTGACGAGCCCGCTCGGCGCTTCGCTTTCTCCGCTCGTTCTCGCACTCCGACACTCGACACACTCGCGAACTCGCGCGAATCGTACGCGATTTTTCCGGCGAAAGATCCATCATCATCGCGCGTACCGTGACGCTCGCGTGGAGAACGTTCGAAGAGTAAAGCTGGTACTGGTATAATTCCGCTTTTTGTTCTCCTTTTTTCTCCTCTTCGCGAACTCAACTCGTTATCGGAGTTGGGTAACCAG